TTACTAGTAATAGTGAATCCTTGGACCTTGCTTTAACAGTAATCCTACTTGATAAAATGCTGAAACACTGTTTGAATAATGCTATGATATCTTTAACTTCCACTTGAACAGGAAGGAGTGACCTCACTTTATCATCTGTTTCTGACAATGCTGCAGACAAGGAGCTCAAAGCACCCAAATGAGACAATGCCCCACGTGAAGGGTGCTATATAAATGCAAGTTGTTGTCGTCGTCGTTGAACCCACAATCTTCTGACACAGTGACAAGAGTATTTCGGACTGAGCCAAGCTGACACTCAGGAACTGAGGTAATAATCCCTTCAAAAAAATATTTATAGATTGATCACTTCATTCCATGACTGTTTGTGGGACACTGCTGTGCGCAATTGGCTGCCAGGTTTTCACCCACAAAATATACAGTCAATTCACTTTACAGTATATTCTGTGAAGCTCTTTGAGACATCTTGAAAACGTGATAAGGCGCTATATCAAATGCAAAGATTATTATGATTATTTATTTTAACTGTACCCCTAAACTCTGGAACTCCATCATCTTGCCCACTCTCATCTGTCTTTAAATCCGCCTAAAAAACAACCTCATCGACCTCACCTAAGCCACCTCCTACCTCCCCATTCCCTTGCTCAGCATCCGGTCCCGACTTTGTGAAGCATTTTGAGGCGCTATGTAAATACAGGTTGTTATTTTTTTCTTGTACCTGCTGCTCTCTGCTTCCTTTCCTTTGACCCATCTTTTCGTTTCAGCCTTGAGAATAGAAAACGTATCGGTCATGTCTAATTGGTAGATAGAGAAAATGATCATAATGAATTTTACTTCAGCTTCCAAAGGAGCAATTCACTTCTGCAATGATTCATCCGGATGTCTGACTGAAGTATGCCAGAAAATTGGGACAGAGTTCAACCAGGAATTCACTGTAACCCAAACCTCCGGTTGTTCTAACCACTGAGTTACCTGCCTGAATGAAAAACAGCAAAGCCAGTGTAATCAACCATCGGTTTACTTTTCATTGCTAAAAACGAAACATCAAAAGTGAAACTAATAAGGCAACATCTTCATGGAAAGGTGGGATTTTTTTTCACTCGCAAGCAAAGATATGGTCTCCCGCATGTTGTAAAATACACTGTCATTTTACTGGCTTACAAAAGTGAGTCTTAGCTATTCTCGCTGTCTAAAGGAGATCAAGTTTACCAGCCTCATCACTGTGAAAACAATCTTCCGTTAAAAAAGGCGTAAATGTAATGCAGGAAATATGCGATCAGTTAAAAAAAGAACCACATCAAGCGTTTTCAAGTGTGTGTGTTTTGCTAATTTGGAAGAAAACAACCTTCAACTTCACAAGGGTACGTCAAAAGAGTTTGTTGTTGGCAAAACTCTTACGAATCAACCAACCTGGATTAGGAAAAGTCAGAAATCAGAATTCTAATGCAAAGTTATTTAAGAAGAGTAAAAGGGTGTAAAAGATGCCAAGACCAATGTTATCTCATTTAATTTTGGTTCTCGGGAGCGTGTCCCCCCAGTGGAAACTATCAAAAAATTACTTGAATGATAACATTTAATAAAAAAACGGGTGGGGGGAAATCTTAGGCAAGTTTCCTTACTCCTCACGCTTGTTTCCCTAGCAGTAAGTAGGAACACGGTTGTGAGTCGATTGGCGGATAGCTTTCCGGGGTAATACAAAAATACACTCACTACATGGGACACTTCTGAGTGCAATTGGCTGCTGCATTTCGCCCACATAATGCACATTCAATCCATTTTACAATATATTCTGTGAAGCGCTTTGAGACGTCTCAATAAAGTGATAAGACGCTATATCAAATGCAAGGATTATTAATATTTTTAAAATCCTTTTTGTTATTCACAACTATTTGTGGTATATTGTCATGCACAGATTAGCTGTTGCATTCGCATACAAAGACACGGTCACTACATTTTACAGTAAAATCCTGTGAAGCTCTTTGATATGTCTCATGCTGTAACAAATGCAAGTACTGTATTTATTAATATTCGGACTCAAGAGACTGGACTGATGCTGTCCACCATTTATAGCAACTGATATAATCTAACAAGAGGTAAGCACAGATGGCTTGTCATAAGACCTTATGTGGAATTGCGGAGTGAGCAACTTGGCAGAGTTTCTTGATAAACAGCTGGTGAAAATTTTGCACCTGCTAATTGTTTGTGGGTGTGGTAAAATCCAGCTCAGACAGCTGCACCTAGGGCAGAGGCTGATAGAAAGCTGAATAAAAAAAATATCAGTGCAAAACTCAAAATAACACACCAATGCATACCAAGGAGAGATTTAAAGGCTGAAATAGCGTTAAAATCAGGACAGTTCAGTTGCACAGCACTGAATACCAAGGAGAGAAGCCACATTAAATTCAAAACAACATCATGCTTTACTGCTGGACACTAAGGAGACATTTAAAGGTTGTAATCTAATTGAGGGGCTCAATGATGCTTATGAACCACTCATATTTTGCTCCTGCAGTTCAATAAATCATTTCAACTTCTCAATGAGATTATTGCGTTTAAATCATTATCAGACATCTATTATTTTCTGTGAAATGAGCTGCCACGGACCAAATCATGAACATTCATCACTTTTAAAGCACTCTAATTTTTTGATGTACCTGCACTGCATTTCTGCTCCAAAGTGTGTATGAAAACATACTTCAAAAACCAAAGTATTTTACTTCTTCCCCGCTGAAGGTTATTTTCTCCTGGACTCTCCCTGCCACCACGAACTTCAACTATCTAATCGCATGGGTTTGAATCCTGCACCTTGTTTTCCATCTGTGCCGCATTATCGTGAACGATAATAATCCCTGCATTTGATGTGCCGCTTTATCATTTCAAGTGATCTCAAAGCCTTCACAGGATGTTACGCTGAAGTTTAGTGACTGTGGTTTCGTAGGCGAGTACGGCAGCCAATTTGTGAACACCCAATGTCCCACAAGCAAACTATCAATTTATCTGCGGGATTGTTGACCAGAATACCGAGGGGAACTCCCTTCTCTATAGCAAGTAGGTGAACAAGAGCAGGAGCCGCAAAGGGTGAATATTGCTCTCCCTCTCGCTCTGTGGGCCAAAGCCTGGCCTTGCCTCCGGCCCTTCACAACGGCAGCACAACAACTGATAGCAACAACAATGACTTACCCTTGTAAAGTGCCTTTCACATCGGGAGGACGCTCCAAGGTGCTGAACCTTCAAGGATTTGGACCCGAGCAGGGGGTTGAGATCAAGAAGGGGTAGAGGGCACGGAGGGTAGGGGTAGGATGGTGACCAAAGCCACGGTCGAAGAAGAGGCTCTTGAGTCGTGTCCTGAAGGAGGCAAGGGAAGGAACGAGGCAAAGGCACTGTGGGATGGAGTTCCAAAGGGTGGAAGAGAAGCTGAATGTCCGACCATCGATGGTGGGGCGGACTGGGCGGGGGACGTGGAGCAGAAGGTAGCGGACAGGTCTGTACAGCAATTTGATGTGGTCGATAGCAACTTACAATGGGCTATAAGCTGGTCAACCTTCAAAACACACAGTCACTACACTTCACAGCAAAAATCCTGTGAAGCCCTTTGAGGCAGCAGGAAGGTGATAAGGTGCTTTATCAAATGCAAGGATTATTATATTATACTCCTCCTCGATAGCACAGCAGAGTGACAAATCAACTGGATCGTACCAATGCACCCTATCTTAAGAGTCATCATTATTATTATCAACAAATCACTATTGTAATTACTAGCCTACTCATTTTTTCCAATAATAAGCATTCTGTGTTTTTTTAAGAAAAGTAAGAAAAGTGACATGTGACTTAAAATCAATCATAGTAACTGTCTCTGATAAATGAAGAAGTGGAAGTATCTGCTATTCATATCTTTCCGATAAAATATCTGACAAGGCTGCAAAAGGTCTTGTACCCACTTCATAGTTTCTTTTGCCACATCAGTCAGACATTTTGTTCTCTTAATAATATCCACACTTGTGAATCGACTCATCAGCTTCAAAATGTGATTACGTCATTCAGCATTTCAAAGAATTGATCCATACACAAGAAGACTAGTCACGAGACTAGAAAACATTTACAACACAAGAGACAAATCAGCCAGTGTGTCAGTGAAGCAGCCAGCACCTTACCAGAACTATCTCCTCTATTCCAACTTCCCTACATTTTCCCTGTACATTTTAACAATTTTTTCCCTCAGGTACACATCCAATTTCCATTAAGAAGCTGTTATGGACTCAACTTTGATAGCTCTTTGGGGTAAGGGATGTCACTTCTAATTGGGTCAATTTAGCCATTACAATTCAGCACATTGAATCCAATGGGTTGGTGGGAGGCTGACTCACCAACCACGAAACCACAAAATTACAAAATTACAAAACTATTCTCAATGTGAACAACCATCGACTCATTGTTCACAATGCTAACATCGAACATCAACCTGTCCTCCCACCTGTCCTCCTGTCCTTACATTTGGGAATGTAAGAAACTATTTCTTAAAATTGGTGTCATATATATTGAATTTTTTACACACAATTGGGGTTTGGAATGCCCTGTCAAGTAAGGGGGTAAAGACAGAGTCTATTGTGAGTTTCAAGAGGGAAATAGACAGGATATGAAAGTTACAGAAGTTGAAGAGGGTATGGGGAAAGGACAGGGCAGTGGCATTGAAACCACCGCTTGCTCTAAGAGCCAGTGCAGACTTGGTGGGAAAAATGGCCACCACTCTGCGCTGTAAATCTCTATGCTTCTATGAACTCAGACAAGGAATCCTGAAGGTTTTCAGCTGAATAAAGAACCTCATTTAAGAAAGCTACTTTACTACATTTGATGTAAGCAGCAAAAGGATAGTGAATCTACGAAGAGACAAATATCCACAATTGGTCAAAATTTAAACACACAACCAAGTGATGCCTTCATTTATAGATTCAAAGATGAAATGATTATTGATGTTAGTTCACATCAGACAATAAACAAAGGATATCTGTATTTTATATGCATTTATTTAAGTCACACACGTTGACATATATATGAAACCCGAAACGTATCATCTGAAAATTGTCAGTGAAAATCCTATAAAATAAATCACTATCTCAGTTATCAAAGGTTCTCATCTTTGATCCCATCATATCACGCATGTCTTGTTAGATTTAATCAAGCTACCCTAGTGTCATGGAACAGGACAGGGCAGTGGCATTGTGTGTATGATTTGTGCTCAATATCAAAGGGAAAATTCATGAGGAGTTAAACATATTTACATTCAGGTTAACGTTGGTAGCTGTAGTTACCACAGGATTCTCGGACACACTAATGTAAGATTTCTCACATCAAACATTCTTGTGGATTTTCAGAGTGAGCTGATGAATGCCAATAATGCCACGTTATTTGCAGNTTTTTTTTGCTATGAAGCTGGGTTGCAAAGAACTAAACTGATTTATTTTACAAGCAACACAACTATCGTCTTATCCATTCGCTAGTTTTTTTTTCAAGTGGATGGAGTGGAATAAGGAAATCAAGCTTAAAATAAAAACTTTGACCTGAACAAATGTTGTCATACAAAGGAGATAGTGAGTAATCCTTTATGGAGGTATACAGACACACTTCATAGCTAGGTTTTGGTTTGTATATAAACCAAAACACTATCTGCTAAACCATTTGAACACCTCTGGCATACAATTTTAACCATTCTTTATGAACAACAGAGATGCTTACAATACACAGTAATTCTGCTGGGACATTTATTATTTTATGCAGTGCCGAATGTCTTCAAAGTCTTCATTTTCTTCACAATGTCAGCTGCTGTGATTTAGTGCACTGATGCTATCTTCAATTTCCGTCAATTTTTTCAGGACTTGGCTCACTTTGGTTTCATCTAATTCCAAGCAGATAAATTCAGATTCCTGAGAACAAGATAAAATACAAAATAATTTTTACAACCAAACCAAATAAGACTTTTAAAAAAATTATATATAATATATATATTTATATACAGATTTGAAACACAAGCACATGAGAGAAAACTTCCCCCTAGATTTTCTTCCCTTTCTGAAGAAATCAGCATAAGGCGGCAACACTCGCTGAAGAACAGCCCTACGCGTGACAAAAATCTTCTGGTTTCTCACCCTGATGGGAGCATGGAAATGGAACATAAGGTGGCTCTACAAATGGCAAAGGGATCTACAGTATTCAAATTTTAAGCAGCAGTGAAACTAAATTATTTTCCCCAACATAAACAGCTGCTTCAAGGGAAGAAAAATACATGATCACATTTAATGGTTACAATATTCAGCAGATATATTGAATACATATATTGAATGTATATATTGAATACAATATTCAGTTATCCACAGTTATCCACATTCACGGGAGTTAAGAGCTTGTCTCTCTGTCTCAGGGCTGTTTCTGTGCCGCCCACAGCACAGAAACCGCTCTGGTCAAAGTGACAAATGACATTCTGTCCACCTGCGACCAGGGCTCCCTCTGCCTCCTCGGCCTCCTTGACCTCTCTGCTGCTTTCGACACCATCGACCATTTTATCCTCATCTACCGCCTTTCTTCTCACCTCAACAACCACGGCTCTGTCCTTGACTGGTTCAGATCGTACCTCTCGCACCCCCTGCACTTCATCTCCACAAATGGCTTCTCCTCCGGACCATCTTGTGCGGTCTTCCTCAGGGCTCTGTCCTTGGTCCCCTCCTCTTCAATATCTATATGCTCCCTCTTGGTGACATCATCCGCAGACATGGGGTCAACTTCCACATGTATGCGGATGACACCCAACTCTACCTCTCTGCCTCCACCCTTGACTCCAGGACCACTGCGTTCCTGACAGATTGTCTGTCATCATCAAGTCCTGGATGTTAGCTAACTTTCTTCAGTTGAACGTCAACAAGACCGAGGCTCTCCTGGCAGCGCCTCCTTACCTCAGGTACTGACAGTATCACCATCCAGGGTTGCAAACTCCAACTGGCTAAGCCAGTCCTGAACCTTGCGATCTTGTTTTACCCTCAACTATCCTTTCTACCCCATATCTGTGCCATGACCCGCTCTGCCTTCGCCCACCTCCGCAACATTGCCCGGCTCCGACACCGTCTCACACCGCAGGCCACCAAAATACACACTTTCACTACATTGAGGCTTGACTATGCAAACTCAATGCTTGTCGGCCTCCCCAACTCCTCCCTTCACAGGCTGCATATCATCCAGAATTCCGCAGTCTGTGTCCTCTCCCACACTAGGCTCTGTGACCCTATCACCCCCATCCATGCCCAACTCCACTGGCTTCCCCTCACACAGAGGATACAGTTCAAGATCCTGGTCCTCACCTCCAAAGCCTTCCACGGACTAGCTCCCACCTACCTCTGCGCCTCCTAACACCCTACCATCCTGCTCGCTCCCTTTGCTCAACGGGCTCCAGCCTGCTTCACATCCCCCACCTCGCTCACCCCACTATTGCGGGCAGACCTTTCGCCACTCTTCCTCCACCCTCTGGAACTCTATCCTGCAGTCCCTCCGCCTCGCCCCCTCCCTTGCCACCTTCAAGACCCATCTCAAGACCCTCCTCTTCGACCGTGCTTTCGATTTCCCTGCATCCCCCCCTGCCTTCCCTCCTCCCCCACCCCAACCCCCAGCTTGGGTCCGTAACTCTGTCTGTCCAGTGACTTGGGACATCTTCCCGACATGAAAGGCGCTATACAAATGTAATTTTAATGTTGTTGTCTCTCAGTTGGAGCAGAGATTAGATTTTTTTTGTCAATTTCTTTTGCTCCATTTCCCTCAAGTGGTTGCGTTTAGCTCGGAAACAGTTAAGCACAGCTTCTGCTCCCTCGAGTTGCCATTGATCTCCGTGTGAGCAGCGATGGTGAGTGTCAGCAGTACAATACAGGGTGTCCACAAAGTCCTGTTACCCCCATGTGTTTTTTTTTACACTGTGCACTGACCAACAACTGCAAAATGTGAAGTATGACAATAATTGTTTCTAGAAGTACGAAGTATGTAACTGTATCTAGATGTCCAGATGATCGGTGTGTGTGAGAGCCATCATTTTCATAGCAGATAATGATTCGTCACCATGTTCGGTGCGACAAACTTCCGTAACATCAATGGAAGGAGTGACGAGGTGAAATGCATCTCTGACAGCTTATTTCAGCTCCTCTGTAGTCTCATATATTTGTTTTGTATCAGGGTGTAAGAGGACTTTGTGGACACCCTGTACTTCACCATATGGGGGAATGAAAATAGAGCCCAATTCAGTCCTCGCCAGGTGTCCATACATTCATTTTCCAACATGGTTCATTGGATAGTGATCAGGATCGGGACTTGGGCTAATTTTCTCCCTTCCTTCCAAGCCCAGGTGGCACTGAGGCCAACTGTAATGCCCAACTCCTGCCCTGGCTGATAGTGGAGACTGGGATTCCTACTTATGCCCTTTCTGGTCTAGATCGACAGCTACCCATTACAACAACAACGATGACAAGTTACATTTGTCTAACACCTTTCACGTCAGGAGGACCCAAGGCGCTGGACAGTCAGAGATCTGCACCCAAGCTAGTGATCAGAAGGGGTGGAGGGCGGGGAGGGCAGGGGTATGAGGATGACCGAAGGCATGGTCGAAGAGGAGGGTCTTGAGACGGGAGCCCATTAAGGGAAGATTTGCAAGAACTGAATTTAATATGACTGAGAATATGCTGACAATAATAATTATTATAATCTTTAATACAGCACCTTTCAGGTCAGGAGGAAGTCTCAAAGTCTTTCAGGATCTACTGTAAAGTTTTGTAGGGGGTTGAGGCAGCCAATTTGCACACAGCAATGTCCCACAAACAGCCATGAAGTGAGTAACCAATTTTGTTTCAGGCAATTTTTGGCCAGGACACCGGGAGATACTCCTTTCTATTTTCAAAATGTGCCATGGGATATTTAATGCCCACCTGAACAGGCAGACAGAGCCTTGGTTTAATGACTCATCTGAAAGATAACACTCCCAACAATGAAGTGCTCCCCCCAGCGCTATGTAAATTTTAAGTCCCAATGTAGTGCTTGAACCCATAACGTTCAGGAGGCGAGAATGCTTGTGACTCAGCCAGGCTAATAGTCTTGTCTATATTGGGCAGCCAACAATACTCCTTGTTAAATGGGTATAAAAGGCTGAATTGTAATGAAACCTCTAGTTGCACTCTGTACTCTACAAATACAAACAAACAAACCCCGCACAGCAGTGTGGGAATGGAAATGCAGCACCATTCAGTTGGTGTATGTTGGTCGAATTCCAAAATTCCAAACAAAAACAAGGCACTAAACGAAGACTAAAAGAAATGACGGACAAAGAAACATGAAGGAGAGAAGTCATGCCCAAAATAGGATATAAAAAGCACGACTGAAACAAATCATTACTGTACATGCCAGAGTAATGACAGGAGAATAGTGAAAGGAACAGAATGATCTGCACAAAGAGACAAAAGACAGATATGTTTTCAAAGGCAAGATATTGTTAGGCAATTGCAAGTCTGGAATCATTAATTTTATTTCAGTTTTATGAAGCTACTGGGAACCTTAGGGATTGGCTTCCAGGCAGTACAATGTCATAACAGCAGTCCTGGTACTGACTGTACACTCTTAAGTGCTGACTGGATGGGTTAATATGCTCTCATTGTGGTCTGGTGTGTGGGCGATTTGTAATAGGATTTCTCAATAAGCAATAATGGAAGTATGACCCATGCTGAGCCATGGGAACTTCCAGCTGGGGCTTCTGGATTGAGATCAGGAGCTGGAAAATAGGAAGATTTTTCCTTTCCAAACTCGAGGTTCTAAGGTCAGTTGGGATGCCCCTTTTGCTAGTTCGGCTGAGATGAGCCAAAAAAATAAAGACAGAGCTTTGGGATTGAACGTTAGACTCTCCTGGTGTCCCCGATCCATGGACTCATTCGTAAGCCCGCAGAAACCCCAACCGCTGCCCTGTCTGAGACCAGCTAACCCAGCACAGCGTGACCACATCGCAAAAGCTAGTTGTCATTTGTATGTTTTGCTAGGAGAAAATAAAAATACAGTCGTGTCCATTACAACAACAACCTGCATTTATATCTCGCCCTTCACTCGGGCCAGCGTCTCAGAGTGCTAAACAGTGGCACAGCCTGACGCCGAGCCGGGGGGAGGGAGGAAGTGACCGTAAGCACGGTCGAAGAGGAAGGTCTTCAGTGGTGATCTAAAAGGAGGGGCAAGGCGGAAGGGTTGAGGGAGAGTTCCAAAGCTTCAGGATTCAGAGGCTGAAAGCACGAACACCAACAGTGGTGCGGAGGGGACGAAGGACAAGCAGGAGGCCTGAGCCAGCTGAGAGAAAGCATAATGTCCATTAAATCTTCCAGCATCTTTCTTTTCGACCGCGCCTTTGGTCACCTTCTTCCCTCTCCCCCGGCTCGGCCTCGGGATCAGTTACTGTGAAGCGCTCTGAGACCCCATCTGGTGTGAAGGATGCTATATAAATCCAAGTTGTTGGTGAGTGTGTGCCAGTCGGTTCATCTCTGGGTCTAGGTTTCATATCAAGCTCGGAATGATTGAAGTCCATTGATAATTATGAGCCTTATCCAAATGAGTTTGTCTGGTCACAAGTTAGCTCTCAGTAGCATAGAAGTCACTGTGTTCATTCATCTCAGCCTGCACAGCCCTGTCCCCTCCAACACTGCTTTCAATTAGACATTACAGCACCCGTGGCACAATCTGAGTGCGAGCTACATTTCGGAGGAATGGATGGATAGTGTTATACACCTTTCTCTATTTCTTGCTGAACGCTCAGCTTTCAGGTCCATCTTTGTTTCGCCCACAAAATATACAATCAATTCACTTGGCAGTATATCCTGTGAAGCGCTTTGAGACGTCTCAACGACATCATAAGATGCTATATCAA